CGCGGCCAAGAATGATTCGAGCCCGAATCGAACAGATTTGAGCATTGTTTGCTCAAATGCTCCTCAACAACACTTGACAGACGCGGTAGTCTGTTGGTTACCGCGCTGATTAGTAGGCGGCCTGCGTTATTATGTAAGCGTCCGTTTTGGGAACTTAGCCGAGACGCGTCGAGACGCGATTCTCTTGTTCACCGTTCAGGAAGTTCCTCAGATGGCGAGGAATGCATTGAAGACAGCTATCCTAAACATAAGGAATGGTTAGTTTCACACATTGAGCACAGTGGGGTGTTTCCGAGGAGGAATGACGAAAATCAAACGAAAATATTCGTAGAGGAACTCCACTTGATCTATTGATGCCAGGGAAAATTGAGGGGACATTTGAAAGTGTCTGTTTCGGAATGGGAACCTCAATTTTTCCCCTCAATCCCAGTTACCTCTAAGACGCGTTCAAGTCGCGTCAATGGACTGTGCACGTGAGTCCCAGAAAAGGAAATATTCCATAGTAACGCAGGCCGCCGGGTATCAAGCGCGGTAACCAACAGACTTTATCGACATCAGGAAACCCGTAGCCGAGCCATAGTGGAACCTAATGGCATAGTATACCCTAGCATCCCTAGTGCTGCATAGTGCTTGGTGCCGCACTATGCAGCACTGGGCAGTACTATAGTGCTGCACCCTATATGTTGGGATGGAGGTATTAGTCATCGCTACTTATACTCGCCCCTGTCGTGTTACCGATCGGGGACTCTTACTCTTGCTCCACGACTATCTCTTCACACTATGCACTATACAGTACTAGGCAGCTCGTCACTGCTGCTTGCACAACGGCAATGTCAACACACGGGAATGGATGTATATTTGACTAAAGTAAAAATATATACAAGTGGAATTCTAACCCTCCCAAAGAAACGGTACAGCGCCATCTGCATACATATATATCGTTTTAACACTGCGAGTCCGAGTCCATACATTGTGAATTCAATATCTCACGTACACTGTATATCGTAGTGCCTGCGTGTTCATCTGGGATGTTTTTCTCAGTGCACACAAACTAGGTAACCACCGCTGTCGTGAGGAATGCAAGAAGCGAGAGGGTTGCAACTTGCAGAAAATAATCGCCGCGGAATCGGGAGAGACACTGACAGCGTGAGACCCGATTGCACGTGCGAGACCATTGCAAGCCGCTACAAACAATGGTTGGTCGCCACTTCTTTCTTCCTCCCACTTCCATGGTCGCCACCAAAGTCCTCCCTGCTTTCGCTTCTGCTTTCGCCTGAACACCGCATCGGATGCACGAAGCCCCGCAATCCCCGTAATCTGCCTTGTTGTGGTGTTGTACTCAACGCGAGCAGCACAGCGGCGGCGCCGCGGACGGTGACAGCACGACGTTGTGACGCTCTCTGATATGCTGCAGTCGGGCTGAGGTGTGTCTCCAGCCTTTTCACTCCATTTGCCAAACTGACACTAAGTAGTCGCCACCGGGACCAGTGTTACTTCTCGTGTCTCCGGTCTTGACACCACGGACTCTCGTATGAAGAGCATGAATCAAGGGGGCGTATTGGACCATCAATTTCGACGACTTCGGGGATCGGAGGATACGAGCGCAACATGGGTTGAAGTGTGGTGAGTTCATTTACTTCCGTGCTGCACTGATAACTGACGTGTAGCTCAGCTCATTGGTGGCTACCGAGTGCGGCAACGGGAACTTAAAGCGGTGCGTCCCGTCTCCAGCCCACGTTCTTACATACTAACTATGATTTCTCAAGCTCGCACATCTCCAGCGGCTGTGATACTACATGTCTGTATGTACTACCCACATGTTGAATCCTTGACTCAATGGCTCCATATTTCCACAGGTCCGCTCACAATGGAAGTATTGCCTGCGCAGACAATCATCCGGTGCGCCCACCTGTTAACTCATTGACTCTATGACTCTATCTCCACAAGGCCGCTCACTGCTGAGCACGCAATATCGCAATAGCACACGCGAAAACGCGGCCTGTGCAGACAATTGTCCGATGGTGCGTCTGCCGTCATTCTGATTTCTGGATGTTCATTCTGTTCAGGTCGGTATCGAGGACTGGCGCATGGGGTTACAAGGTCGCGAAGAGCTGACGAATCCTGAATGCCTAAATGTGTGATCTTTAGCATACTTGCTCTCTATGTTACACCCGTCAATACATATTCATTTTGGTTATCAACGCAGCGAGAGCCGCCTCGAATAGCAGTGGAATAGCAGGTAGAACCAGGAATAATACGGGATTTACGCGGTGGCGGCTGTACTGCATAGTGCTGCCTAGTACTGTATAGTGATGGCGTGCCACTGTCCAGTGCTGCATAGAGGGGATGAATCTATGGCCGCTATGGCACTACGCAGCACTGTCAAGCACTGTCAAGTGACACCTGGTTTTCCTGATGCAAGCGAGGAACGAGCTAGAATCGATAAAGTGTCTGTCAAGAGAGACTACAGACGCGGACCATCCGCCATCGAGTCGGTTCTTTCCTTGAACGCAAGGGAGATGTGGGAGTTCATTTTATATTAATGCAAAGGCGGGACCCTTCCAAAGAAAATATCACAGAGGATCATAAATGACTCGAGTCTGATTTAGGAACTGGTGGGTGAAATGAGTGCAGACGCGGTTGAGACGCGGCCCACCCGCCACCGAGTCAGTTCTTAGTCTGGAAGGTGAATGAGATTATTGTCTAGTTCTGCAGCTGGTAATGAAATGCTCCTCCAAAAAACAAAAGTACAACCAAGCAACATGATTCGAGCCTGATTCGAACAGGCGCCTTCTGCTTGAATGTTTCTTATTCAATCAGCAAAACAAGCGCAGACACGGACCATCCGCCACCGAGTCGTTATTGGCTTATGCGCCAGAGAGATGAGTGAGCTTCTTTTCTGAGAAGCCGGCGGTAAAATGCCCGCCCGCTGCCGAAAAAGAAAGATCGGACGATCAAAGAATGATTCGAACAGGCGCCTTCTGCGAGAATTCATTCCCAACCCACAGTAAGCGCCACCGAGTCGGTTCTTTGCTTGAACGCAGGGGATATGAGTGGCCTCATTTTATATTCCTGCAAAGCGGGTGGTAAGTAAATCCCTCCGAGTTTCCAAAAAAAAAAAAAAGGCTATCACCAGAGCATGACTCGAGCCTGATTCGAACAGGAACCTTCTGCTCAATTACTTCTTGCTTCGTATGGAAGGCAGACCCGCCACCGCGTCAGCTCATTACTTGAATGCAGGTGAGATGAGGTGAGGCTATCTACATTTCTGGGAAGTGAAATCCGTCTCCAAAAAAGACTAACTTGGCATCTACGACTCGGGCCTGAATTGGACAGGCACCTTTTGCTGAAATACTTCGGACTCACGCCCACAGCGAGCGCACCGAGTCAGTTATTGACTTGAACGCAGGGGAAACCAGTGAGCTCGTTGTATATTCCTGCAAAAAAGATAGTAAATCCCGTCTCTAAAAAAGAATCGAACCCCATTTACCCAATGACTCGAGCCTGAATCGAACAGGCCCTGAATCGAACAGGCACCCTCTGCTCAGATATCTCTTACTTCGTAAGGAGGGCAGACGGGGACCATCTGCCACCGAGTCGGTGTCTGGCGCTAACAGAGCCGATGTGTAAGCTTAATTATTGTACAATTTGAACAGAGTTTTCGGAAAATATCGAGCGGGCAAAATAGAAAAAATTCACCGATGGTAGTCGCAAATAACTCGAGCCTTAATCGAGCAAGCACCTTCTGCTCAAATCATTCTTCCCGTCCCAACAAGCGCAGATGCGGACATCTGCCACCGAGTTGACTATTGGCTTGCACGGAATAGATATGAGTGAGCTCATTTATATTCGTAGTAAATCCCCTCTCCAAAAAAAAACTGTGCAACGGCTCCAAATGATTCGATCCTGACTCGAACAGGCACCTTCTGCTCATATTATTTTATCCCCCCAACAAGCGCAGACGCGGACCACCCGCCACCGAGTCGGTTCTTGACTTGAACGCAGGGGAGATGACTGAGCTTATGTATATTTTGGCAAGCTAGGCATGGGGAAAAAAAATAAAGCGACAGGATCACCAATCATGACTCGAGCCTGATTCGAACAGGCCCCTTCTGCTCAAATTATTTCTAGCTTCCATCCAACACGTGCAGACGCGGACACCCGCCATCGAGTCGGTTCTTGGCTTCAACGCAGGGGAGACGAGTGAACTCGTTGTATATTCCTGCAAAACAGATAGTACATCCCGTCTCCAAAAAAGAATCGAACCCCATTCACCCAATGACTCGAGCCTGAATCGAACAGGCACCTTCTGCTCAGATACCTCTTACTTTAGTAAGGAGGATAGACGCCGACCATCCACCACCAAGTCGGTGTCTGGTGTTAACAGAACCGATGTGGGAGCTTAAGTATTGTACAATTTGAACAGAGTTATTCGGGAAATATCGCGCCGGCAAAATACAAAATTCACCAATGGTAGTAGCAAATGACTCGAGCCTGATTTGAACAGGCACGCAGGGGAGATGACTGAGCTTATGCATATTTTGGCAAGCTAGGCATGGGAAAAAAAAAAAGAAATGACAGGATCACTAATCATGACTCGAGCCTGATTCGAACAGGCACCTTTGGCTGAAATATCTCTTTCCAATCCTAGCAGCCGCGGACGCGGACCATCCGCCATCGAGTCGGTTCTGGATCTGAACGCAAGGAAGATGAGTGAACTGATTTTATATGTCTGCGAAGCCAGGAATGAAATACCTCTAACAGGAAATAAAAAGACGTGGCCAGGACGAATGACTCGAGCCTGTTTGAACCAAGTTTAAACAGGCGCCTTCTGCCTGAATGTTTCGTATTCGATCAATTAAACAAGCGCAGACGCGGACCATCCGCCACCGAGTCGTTATTGGCTTATGCGCCAGGGAGATGAGTGAGCTTCTGTATATTTCTGCGAAGCCGGCGGTAAAATGCTCCCTGCAAAAAAAAGAAAAGTCATCAAGGAGCCATGACTCGAGCCTGATTCGAACAGGCACCTTCTGCTCAAATTATTTGCAATCCTCTCAGCAAGCGCAGACGCGGACCATCCGCCATCAGGTCTTTGCTTGAACCCAGGGAGCTTATTTATATTTCTAGGCAGTGAAATCTGTCTCCAAAAAAGAAAAACGTACTGACGACTGAACAATGACTAGGTAGCCCAGGTAATCCCGACACTTGCTGACAAAAAATAAAATAAAATAAACTCAAAACAGGCATACGCGGATAGAGTCATGGGAATCGCATGCAGACACCATCACACCTTGATGATAAATGTTCCACACACCGTTGAAAGTACGGAACACGTAGTAGGTTGTTGTGTGATGGTGGAACTGACGACGCGTTCTCATAGGTTGGAGGTCGATACGTTTCTCTTATATGGACGCTACCTAAATAAAATGAAAAACTCATAGGTACGAAGTTTCTGCCGGGCACCGCCGCGGCCCAACACCTCAAGTCTCGAGGGCGTTGATTTCCAAAGAGAGCGAGGCGGTTCAGAATGCCGCCCCAGTCCCGCAGGCGCCGAACACTCATAAGCGAGGGCGCGAGGACGACGACGCCGACAACTCCGCGCCCGCACCGCCTATACAATACGCGCCCTGCGTGAACAATCACCATCCCACGGACAATTGCTATCCTCCCCCTTCTTTCTGCACCCCAACAACCGACAATGCCCCGCAGCCAGGGCCCAGGCCGCAGTTCCGGTTTGGCGTTGGCCCGCTGTCGATGTTGTTGGAATTCAACATGGCCCTCCGGGCACCCCTGGTACCTCTATAGCTGCCCGCTACCCAGTCCAAACCCCTGCCTGTACCGAGACCGCGACCGAATCCCCTACCGCGCCTCAGACCGGTACCTCTTGGTGTAACGGTGCGCTATACGCACCTCACTCTCCTTAGTTACTTAGTCATATTTTCATTTATCATTTATCATACACTCCTTTACTTCGTAGAATACCCCTGTTTACCAATCTTACTTATATACATGGATGTCGTAGATAGTTTCTTTGGTCAATCTATAACCTACGCAACTTAACCTCGTCGGAACTGACCTCCCGACTCTCTTGAACTGTGTGCCGGAACTAGCGCTTTGCTCTCCGTCACATCTTTTTAAGTCTCGATACCTCGTTGCTGCTCTTGCTGGTTACCCCTAGGTCTGATCCACCTCGCCACCGCACTGCAGCCAACCCCAGAAGACCAAAGAATCTTTGCTATGGAATACAACAAACCTCACACTCGCGCGGCCACTCGAGCCGGCGTGTACCCCGCTCCCAAGCCCCTATATAGCCCCGACGCTCTGTCGTTCGGGACTATTGAGGCTGGGGACTTTGACTTCCCTCTCATCGCTCCGGCGATGAGACCCGTCACCGCTTCGGCGGCCGGGATTACCGTCACTTCGGTGGCGAGACCGCCCAACGCTCCGCACGTTGGAGAACCGTCGTCCGATTTGCCTCTGCTCACGCAGAGCGACGAGGACGCCGACGCCAGTGGTGAAGCCACAACGTCGGATGAGGATGAGAACGGGGGCTGGACTCCTGTTACTCATAAGACTTCACGTTCTCACCGTGAGCGTAGTACTTCGAGCAGAGATAATCATACCATTAATTATATCTTTGATTCGGATGCTCCGAGCGTCTCTGACTATGAGACCAAGTCGACGGTCGCGCATGCGACGGACGAATTGAGCCCCGAGGACCTCGAGGCTCTCGTGCGCCGACATGATGCAATAGCTAATGGGTTTCGCGCGCAGATTATGCGCCGAGCGACACCTGTTAAGGCTAAGAAGGAAGTCGAGTCGGACGTCGCAACGGACGTACCGAATACGAGAAGCGCCGCTTCTCAGAATGCTGCGTCCGCACCCGGGCCAGTACCCGCTTCCGCGCGTGCGCCTGAGTCGCGCCGCGCTACGGTGGAAGCTGTAGACGATGAGGATGACCTCATCAGCTTTAGCTCGGCTCCTGGTCCCTCCCGTAGCAAGGGGAAGGGCCCGGACCCTGGGAATTGGGGCGACATTAGTTCCTTCCAGGGTTTCTCCGAGAAGGAGATGAGTGCTCAGAGGGAGGCGCTGCTCAATTTTGAGGAAATTATGCGCATCAAACAGGAAGGGTACTCACTTCCTGTTGAGACGCTGGTGGATTTCGCCCCCACAACGGCTTCGACTCCGAAGCCGAAGCCTCGCCGCAAGCGCTCCAAGAGCCCCAAGTCAAAAGGGGCTAAGCCGGTGAAGGAAGAAGGACCTACCGTGGTTCCAACGCCTGTCACTCTTGACGCGAATAACGACCGCGAGCCCGAGTCCGGACTCTCTGTAAAGGAAATGTTTGAGTTGTTAACTAAAAAGATTAACAACTTAGAAGCTAACCAGAGGCAGCCAAGTGAACCCGCGCCGTCAAAAGACGCGGCGGGTCCCAAACCGCGAGTCAAGGCAGAGTCGAGCGCGTCTAGGGCGCGCGCGACGCCGCCGAATCCCCGAGGCGTGACGCCTGGCCGACTCGCCGCGGAAAACTTCTTCAAGAAAGCTCTGCGCAAGAGCCCAGCAGCCGCCACTGCAGACTCCAACACGCCGCCGTCCGAGCCGTCTGACGACTCGAGTTCAGATTCGAGCGAGAGCTCCAATCACTCGAGCGAGGATGACTCTGGATGTTCGCGACGCGGAGCCTCTAGTCCGCGGTTGTCGTCCAAGCGGCGACGTGGGCACGAGCGTAAGCAGAAGATGCTCTTGAAGCCCATTCCGCCGTCTCGGTACAACGGCGACCCTAACGCGAACGCTATTCAGCGTTTCGCTCGAGAATCGAAAACGTACGTAAAAATGGGTCGCGTACCTAAAGACCAACAGGTGTACTTTGTGTCATACTACCTGGATAGCAAGGCACTTGATTTCTACAATCAAATTGTCGTGCCCGACGAGGGGAACTGGTCGTTGAACCGCTTCTTCGTGGAACTCTTCGAGTTCTGCTTCCCGGTGGACTTCCGCAATAAACAGCGGAAACGTTTGGACAAGTGCTTCCAGGGCATGCGAGGAGTCGCTGCTCACGTAGCCGAGTGGTCGGAAATCTATAATACAATTGGACTAGAAGATACTCAGGAAAAGATCGTGAAGTTATTCAATAGCTTCACCTTCGCTGTCCAGACAGAAATATACCGGAAGGGTTTTGATCCTGAGGATGCAACCTGGGATGAAATCGTTAAAGCCGCTGAGCAGGCAGAAGTTTTGCTTACTCTCGCCTCGAAGGGCCAGGAATCTGGGTCCTCGAAGCGAGCCAATGAGCAGACCGCGAAGCCCGCGGACTGGCGCTCACAGAGCCAAGGACAGCCTTCTCGAGGAGGATTCCGCGGACGCGGTCGCAGCCGCGGAGGGCCTTTTAACAACGCCCGTGTTCCTCGCGAAGAAATCATGCGGACTTCCTCGGTCGCTGTACCTGCCAAAGGCGAGAGGAGCGGTGAGCACTTGTCGGCGGAAAAGCGCAACGAAATGCTTGCCAAAGGTCTCTGCTTTACTTGCGGCGAGGCAGGACACATGTCCCGCAATTGTCCGAAGAAGAACAGCGTTCCTTCTAAGAAGAAGGGTAGACCACCTGGGTTTACCACACATGCCGTCCGCATGGCCACGAGTTCGAGCTCGCGTGACGCTCTGCTCGAGAGCACGGAAGTAATTGAGACGTTGCATATCGGAGCTATGCACTTTGGCGACCTTGGCGGAGTCGAGGAGGGAGGGGAACCCCTTCAAACCTTTGAGAATTCTAGCGATGATTTTGAGCTAATTTCTAACCGAAGTTCTCAGTACGAAATCGACTCCGTGAGCGACGAATTACCTTCGCGTCCAATTGGCGACGTTTACGCCTACTATGCGTCGTTTATGTTGCAGGCGGCCCAACCGTACCCTGGCGACACGACGCCTCTCACTACGGGAGACTGCTGGGACGAGAAACGATTCCTCATCTATCAGACGTCAGACTCTGAGTACGTGGTGATGGACAGCGAACGCCACGAACCTGCTGTCTTGAGCATGGAAATGCTAAAGGGTCCCGACTTCAAGCCCGCGCTGTGGTACGCCCAGGTGTGTACGCAGGAGTTGGGTCTTGATCTAGATGGCGTCTTGAATGAGGCGCGCTATTTGGACGGGATGAACGATGCTCAGGCTGGTGCGGTCCAGCTGATGCTGCAAAGCCATGAGTGGGAGAAGACGTCCGCCGAGTGGGAAGAGGATGACTCCTCAGACAGGTTTGAGGTCCGCCCGGAGGGCGAGGACCTCGTCATTCTGCATCACATCGTAGCGGCGTGTTTTACCCTCGTAAGAAGTGCTCTGGATAATCCGAGATTCGACCTGATTAAATGGTATGAGAATGAGTTGCTGGACCATGAGTCTGACTCGAGCTCTTACGATCTTGGAGAAATCCCTGGCTCGGACCCCGAGTTTGTGCCGTGTGAGCCGGGACATGAGTGTTCCTGCTGCGACGCATCCATGCCCGCTCTGCAGAGTGTCAGCGCTTCGTCCGACTCTGGGTCAAACCCGTACCAGACTCCGGACGAGGAAGACGAGCCGCCGAGCCTACAAAGCGTTAGCCGTTCGTCTGATTCAGATTCAGATTCCTCTGACCTCGTGTTCCCCGGAGACCCCAGTGAGACGGTGGATGACCGCTTCAAGTTACTGGAGCGAGCGGCAAAGGATCTTGAGGGACAGCGGCGTGAAGTCGCTTCGAGGTCGCGTCGTTTAGGCGATGTTCTCGGGAACACTGTCGCTGCGTTGCTGGACTTCTTCCAGCCCTACCCCGGGGACGAGCAGATCGCGTGGTCGGACGAGCGGCGGGACGCCATTCGTTTCCGTGTTCTGCGCCCAAACAACGAATGCTTCGTTATCGAAGACTCGTACGCCGCGGAGGTCGCAGTCTTGCCTCTGGAATATTTGCGTGTCCCCGCGTTCCATCTATTGGGGTGGTATGCGCGTCAGCGGGCACGATCTCTAGGACTAGAGCATCGCGAAAGCTTACCTATTCATAGCTTCCCCATTGAGGAACTATTAGCGGACGCGATTCAGCAATATTTCAGGGATATAAGCCGTGACATACCTGA